CGCGCCGGAGCGGTCCCGGGCTCTGACAGCTGAGGGCGGGACCCCCGCAGCGCGGCCGGGGCTCGGTACGTCAGAGCAAACGGGCCGAGGGGGGAGGTGCCAGCCGGACCCGGCCCTGAGGGTGTTGGGGACTGATCCCAGTTAGCATTTAATTAACGGCCTCGACACAGCCCTCAGGATTTGTGCTGCTGAAGCGTCTGAAGCCGCTGAATGATCAGAGCAATACTGTAACTGCAGAGGAAGATTTGCTGATTTTGAAGGAAAAAAAAAAAAAGCGACTGGGACAAAGCCCATTACCAAGCACAGGGTTACCCCCCCCAAGTGCGTTCAGCTGAGGTTTACTAATTAGAAACAACTTAAAGAGCTGGGCTCCTCATCAGAGGAACCGTGTGAAAAAGGAGAATGCAATCTCAGGATGCATAGGAGCATGCCGTGCAGCACCCGGGTACCAAGTTATAACGCTTTGAATGTTGTGTTGTAATAGCGAGGAGGTTTCAATTAAATCAGCATTAGGGGGGCACGGACAGAACACCCCAGCGAATTGACAGCAGGTGGAGTTGATGGAGCTGCTCTGCACACCTTCCCTCTAGTAACCACCACAATGAAACAAATCCTTGCCTTTAGAATCAAGTAAGAGCATGCACGTGACTGCTGGTAGATAGCATGCTAAGCTTCCTTGAGCTATGACCCGAACCTAGAGTGTGTACCTATATTCTCCAATATTAAAAAAATCCCCCACTATTAGGATTACACCAGGAAGAGTTAACCTTTCATATCAGAGAAGGCTCTGATCATATCAGAGAAGCCCTTCTGAAACAGAGAAAGAGCTTGGCCACTGCCAAACTCAAGTCCCACCCCCATCTGTTTCCTTCTAGCAAACTTTTTTTTTTGGTGGTAAAAGCATGTTTTCCTTCTGGAAACCGAGGGCCATACTTTCCTGCATTGCATGGCTATTGGTGTCGCATTTAAGAACGTTTCAAAGCAGCCCAAAATAAATAATGCACAAGTCCTTTTGTGGTGTGGGGTAAGCCAGACAATAATCAGAAGTAACAAATACCTTTATTAAGGAATTACAGTTTCAGATGTTTCTACATAGAACAATTTCTTTTGCATTACATTTTAGAACATTGTTTTGCATAAGAAAGTTAGCTGTAATAGATATTAGCCTCTTTCCACTATAATTTTAAAACCAAAGTATGTACTTGTTTTATTGATTACATGTATCATGTTTTTTTAATCTCAGTAAAGCATAGACAAAAAATACAAGTTGTCAGATGAATACTATTTTCTGTTAAATAGCAATGTCTCAAAGGTTTCTCCTGAAGTTATGACATGAGACGCTTTTCTGCTGTTTATTACTGAGAAATTTAAGTGCCATACCTGGAAAATACCTCCACAGTTTTATATTCTCAATGACATTAACTGCAAAATCAATGTTGTCTTCAGTGTAGG